GGGGATGGGAGGATTGAGGGATAGAAATAAAAACATTTTGGTTTGTTTGACAGGAATAAAGTCAAAGTATCATGTACGTTTGCCGAATAGGACAGAGTTTAGAAAGAAAAACAACAGCAGAAAACAACAAATAAAGCAATAACACAAAGCAGATTGGAGGTAGGACGGATTAAAAGGTCTGGTTGTTTTGTTGTTTTTTGGTGGGGGGGGTTGTTGTTGTTCTTTTCTTTTTATAACAATACGATTTAAATCATTTAAGAGGCGGGCTTTGACCCTGCCCGTCAGTCCCAACCCGGGCTGACAAAGATGAAACATCTCAGCAGAAAGACCGGGTTTCCTAATTTTTAAAATTCTCCCATCTGGGGAAACTAACCTGGTTCTCGTGGGTACAACGTTAAAGTTCCTAACCTCTACACCACTGACGCTGGTTTAAAAACATGACCCAAATCATCATCATCATCATCATCATCATCATCATCATCATCATCATCATCATCATCATCACCATCATCATCATCATCATCACCATCATCATCATTATCCAGTGCCAGATCTGCGACAGACATCGGCGATCATGGTTCTCCATTCACTCCTTTGCTCTGATGCTCTTAAAAAAGCTACGTTTCCCTGATCTTTCCCTGTTACCCATTTGTTTAGGTTCCTTAAGTTTACTGTTCTGGGCCTACTCCTGCCTCGTTTGCCTTCAATTTTGCCAGTGAGAGCTAGATGTTCAAGACCCTTAGGTCTATTCAGGTGTCCCAAAAACTGCATTTATCGTTTCCTGGTTGTTTTTAACAGTGATTGTCCCAAATACGTAAAGTTTTTCTGACGGAAGAACAATAATAACTAAAAACATCTAATAAAGTAATGGATTGCAATAAATGTCTCAAATCTAAATTTAATATTTCAGATCCGTTAGGAGAAAGGCTGGCTGGCCCAAGCCAGACTTAGTGATACTATTATACAGCATCTCAGCACAAACGCCTGAACATCCACCTCAGATGAGCATTACAAAGCTCTATCTGCTCACTATCTAGTTTTGAGGAATGTGATGTCAAAAATTTTGAGTTTCACAATGTTTTAAGCTTTTTCGAGTGCAGTCCTATCAATATCTTGAGAGTGACTCAAAATAATCCTACGATTCTTTTAGGGCGAATATAAATAAAACAATGACTTCTGACCTCCTGGTGTTAGTAACTCAAAACGGCCAAATATGTCAGAGAAGGCTTTGTAATTCTGAGGTAGCGAGATGTCACAATAATCATAGAAGTGAAAACACCAGAAGATTTTTTTTTACAAGAAAAGTAGTGAAACTGTTTTTTCTTATTTAGGCAGAAAGAGTCAACTATCGTTTATTGAGGCGGACTCAACTATTCCCCAAACTTACACGTGTGTGGGTGGTTGGATGCTGCTCTGGTGTGGTTTGCTCCTTCTTTCTGTTCAAAATATATCGTCCATATCTCCCTCTTTCTTTTTTGTGTTTATTGTTACTCTCTCGTAACACCTCTAATCTTCGGTACTTATATGGTTGCTTTTAATGACAAGCCGGCTAACCCAGATTTGGGGGCTTTCCAGAAATCTTGATCTACACCAAAAGTGGGCATTGCCCTATCTATAGGAGAAGTTTGGTTTCACTAAGGTGTATATTTGTTTGGTTATAGAGAAAACTCTCCTTGTCTTTTAAAGAAACTGATCAAGAGGCAAAAACTCTACATTCTATTTTCTCAAAACAGCATTTTTCGGGATAGCCCCCTTGTGCTTAAATGCGACCATATGACCTTATTGTGTTGCAAGTGCCGTATAATTCTTACAGAAAAAAAACAAAACAAAACAAAACAAAACTTACAGGTAATCCCCAGCTGGTTGCTTTCCGCACTCTCGAACTGTGACCCGGTGAAAGTGACCTTACAGACGTAGTTCCCTTCGTTGACGACCTGAAGGGATGAAATGCTCAGGGTGTTGGAACTTCCATCCAGCCTTGTATTTTGTCTGTGTGGGGGATGGGGTCGGAGTGGGGGGGGGGGAGGAGGAGAGGAGAAATAACACGCTCTTTTTTTAAATATCTCCCTGATTCTGCTAATTTTGCATGATTTTTCTAGAGTTCATAAAAATGTTCAGAACACGATATCAATTCAAACTGTTTAGGGTGGACGAGGAGGGGGGAGGGGGGGAGAGAGGGAGAGAGCTGAGACAAAGATAGAGAAAGTGAGACAGTGAGAGAGAGAAAAGAGAGACAAAGGACACACACACACACACACACAGAGAGAGAGA